CTCTTGTCTGGTACTTTACCACCTGAGCCATTCCTTCAGCGTAGCCTTTTGCTGGTTATGTTGGAGATGGAGTTTTGCAGACTTTTCTACGTGGGCTGCTTCAAACTGCTATCCTTAGCCTTCTAAGTAGCTGAGATTTTAGTTCTATTTTAAGAAATCATGTGGTATGGAAAAGTAATTTTGCTTTTTTAAAAAAGTGTTTTTAAAGTGTTTGGTGCTGGGCACCCGTGACTGACTCCTGTAATACTAGCTACTCAGGAAGCTGAGATCTGAGGATCACAGTTCAAAGTCAGCCCAGGGAGGAAAGTCTGTAAGACTTTTATCTCCAATAAACCACTAGAAAACCAGAAGTGGGCGCTGTGGCTCAAGTGGTAGAGTGCTCGCCTTGAGTTAAAGAGGTCAGGGACAGCGCCCAGGCTGAATTCAAGCCCCACAACTGACAAAAAAAAAATGTGTTTGGTGGGCTGGGAAGATAGCTTAGGGGTAGAGTGCTTGCCTAGCATGATGAAGCCCTGGGTTCAATTCCTCAGTACCATATGGACAGAAAAGGCCAGAAGTAGTGCTGTGACTCAAATGGTAGAGTGCTAGCTTTGAGCAAAAGAAGCTGAAGGACAGTGTCCAGGCCCTGAGTTCAATCCCCAGGACTGGCAAAAAAAAAAAAAAAGTGTTTGGTATCCAACACATTTATCCTGTCTTCCTTCTGATTTTGCAGCTGAGTCTAACAGGGTTTGTGATCATGAAAAACTATGTTGACATATACGTTTGAAATAATGTTGCATGTTACACAAATGAGAATGAAAATACAATGAAATTGAAGATATCCCTTCCTTATTTCTATAGACAGATTTTCTAGGGTCCTGGTAGAGCAGCAGCAGGACCGAGCCCGGAGGGAGCAAGAAAGGATTCGTCTCTTTTCTGCTGATCCTTTTGACCTTGAAGCTCAGGCAAAGATAGAAGAAGATATAAGGTAATGACCCATGGACCTAATGACCAAACTTAGAGCAACCAGGGCTGGGAATGTGGCTCAGTGGTAGAGTGCTAGCCTTGCATGCATGAGGCCCTGGGTTTGATTCCTCAGCACCACATAAGCAGAAAAGCCAGAAGTGGCGCTGTGGCTCGAGTGGTAGAGCACTAGCCTTGGGCTGAAGAGTTTAGGGACAGCGCCCAGGCTCAGAGTTCAGTCTCCACAACTGGAAAAAACAAACAAACTTAGAGCAACCAAGGTTCCCCAACAAAATATTATCTAATATAAGTTAGATGTCTGTTTGGAGACAGCTTCCTATTTCAAAGATAACCTAAGGGAATCTTAGGTAATTTTCTCCTTGGGACTGGGAAGGTGACTCAGTGGTAGAGCACTTGCCTTGCATGCATGAGGTCCTGGGTTCGATTCTTCAGCACCACATAAGCAAAAAGAAAAAAGCCAGAAGTGGCGCTGTGGCTCAAGTGGTAGAGCGCTAGCCTTGAGCTGAAGAGCTGAGGGACAGTGCCTAGGCCCAGAGTTCAGGCCCCTCGACCGGACCCCCCAAAAAAAAAGATAATTTCTCCTTGTTCCTGTTCCTCATGTTTTGAATCAACTTTGCAAAGATACACTTATTATTGACTTTCTGTTCTAAAATTTTTAAATAATTTTATTGTCAAGGTGATGTACAGAGGAGTTACAGTTACATAAGTAACATTTCTTGTCTAACTTGTTGCCCTCCCTGCCACCCCCCTTCTAAAATATTACAAAGAGTCTCTGACTGGCAGACAACATATCATTAGAGCCAGGTATATAACCCCAGTATCAAAAGAAATGACCCTAACAGGTAGAAAACACAAGGCTGATGACAGGCTGATTTGAATCTTTCTCCTTAGAAATATATGAGCCTGAAGATGACTGGATTAGAGTGACACCTGCACTAATGGAACCTTATCCTTTTTTCTTTACTGACCCCACTGAATAAACTGCTTGGCAGCAACTCTGGCTTCTGTAATGTAGTGGTTCTCCTCTGGAGCTATATTAAAAGCTAGAAGCTTTAAACATGTAGATTACACTAGTGGCTCATGCCTGTAATCCTGGCTATTCAGGAAGATCTCTGTTTGAAGCCAACTTGAGCAGAAAAGTCTGAGACTCCATATCCAATTAACCTGCAAGGAGCCAAATTGGAGACATGGCTCAAGTGAAAGAGTATCAGCCATGAGCAAGAGAATTGACTAAGAACCTGAGGCCCTGCGTTTAAGCCCTGATTACCCCATCCCCTCGCCCCTGATGTAGATGCTTCAGCTCTTCCTTCTGACTCTGATGAGTCAGAATCTTCAAGAGTGGAACCTCAGCTAGTACAACGATGTTAATGGCAGTCTTGGCTATCTCATTAGTCACAGCAATATGCAATTTGAGTAAAAAGACAGCTGTTTACCCCCTACTGCTGCTCCCAAAGTTTTGGAATAGTTTTTTTTAACTCTAGAAGCAGGAAGTTTATGAAGACATTATCCACAAGTCATAGAGTAGAAGTGAATTGGAGCATCTCCAGATAGCTTGTATTCCACCCCATGAGTGGTATATTGGAGACTGGATAATGCATTCATTTCTTCATAAGGGAGAAAGTGCCTCTGAATACAACCCATAACAACCAAAGCAACTGGTTTTATATCAGTGGATTTCTTCTGTTGAAACATACTTGATTTTGAGTGAGTACAAGATCAGGTACACAATTTTAGGTTACTTATAAAATTTTTAATAAGGGCTGGGAAGGTGGCTCAGTGGTAGAGCGCTTGCCTTGCATGCTTAAGGCCCTGGGTTCGATTCTTCAGCACCACATAAACAAAGAAAAAAGCCTGAAGTGGCACTGTGGCTCAAGTGGTAGAGCGCTAGCCTTGAGCTGAAGAGCTGAGGGACAGTGCCCAGACCCAGAGTTCAGGCCCCACGACCGGACCCAAAAAAAAAATTTTTTTTTAAATAATACGCAGGAGGATAAAAGTGATATGTGATATAATTAGCCTAGCTACTCCAGAGACTGAGATCTGGGGAATGTCTGTGAGATTCGTGTCTCTAATAAACTATTTAGAAAAAGCTGAAGTGGCACTATGGCTCAAGTGATAGAGTACTAGTCTTGAGTAAAAAGAAGCTCAGGGACTATACCTAAACCTTGAGTTCAAGCCCCAGGATTGGCCAAAAAAAAAGTGGTATAATTATATCAAGTGTCTATTAAAGTTTTATTTAACATGCTGTGCACGGGGCATGTGTGCACTGAGGTACAATAGCTTTTCTATTTGTCTAATTAAATTAAACAATGGTGCCTTTGACTTTCTTTAATATTGTATTAAAGATGGCTGGGTTAAGCCATCAATTTGGTTGATTACTGAAGCATTATTACTAAAAGGACAGGCACTATAGTTTAGAGGAAAGGATAAGGGGTGTTTTCCATAGAGGGAGGTAATAAATATTTTAGGCTTGGCAAGCCATATGATCTCTGCCACGTATGCTCAGCTCTGCCAATGCCATGTGAGAGCAGCCACAGTGTAATGCACGATGTCCCCATAAAAGGCTGTCCATAGAAGCAGATAAGGAGATGTAGTTGTTTTTTGCCAGTACTAGGGCTTGAACTCTAGGCCTGGATGCTACTCCTGAACTTATTTTTGTTCACGACTAGTGCTTTACCACTTGAACCATGGTTCCACTTCGGGCTTTTTCTTATAATTTTTTTTTTTTTTT